CTCAATCCTTTTTATCTCGTTCATATCAGTCCTTTGCAAGTTGCACTGCAGGGGTTGCAGGGGTTGCAAAACGCCACGTCACCATTGCTTGCAACTATTGACAGTGCAGTGTTGATGTAGTTCTTTGACGAATGTTTCTCGATGGAAACGAATTTGGCAGAATTTACGTAAATACAGAAGTAGAGAGAAGTAACGATCGAGGGAATTGTAAAATTAACCATAGTAATAATAATAATAATAATAACAATAATAATAGTGGTGATATAGATTGAGATTACGTCGGTAATAGTAATAGTAGCAGTAACAGCAATAATAGTAATAATTGTAATAACAACTACAACAATAGTAATAATAACCACAACAACAACAATAATAATAAACATAATAATGAAAATAATAAAAATAGTAATAGTAATAATAATAACAATAATAATAATAATAATAATAACAATATTAGTAATAATGATAATAATGATAATATTAACAATAATAATATCAACAATAAAACTAATGATAATAATAATAATAATAACAATAATAATAATAATAATAATAATAATAATAATAATAATAATAATGATAAAAATGATGGTTATAATGATGATGATGATAATAATGATAATAATAATAATAATAATGATAATAGTAATAACAATAATGATAATAATAATAATAATAATAATAATGATAATAATAATAATAATAATAATATTGACAATAATAATAATGATAATAATAATAACAATGATAATAATAATGATAATAATAATAATAATAATAATAATAATAATAATGATAATAATAATAATAATAATAATAATGATAATAATGATAATTATAATAATGATAATAATAATAATGATGATAATAGTGATGGTTATAATGATGATGATGATAATAATGATAATAATAATAATAATAATAATAATAATAATAATAATAATAGTAATAATAATAATAATAATGATAATAATAATAATAATAATAATAATGATAATGATAATAATAATAATATTATTAATAATAACAATGATAATAATAATAACAATGATAATGATAATGATAGTGATAAAACTCTTATCATCATTATAATTATGATACTGATGCTGATAATGATAATAACAGCACCAATTATAATATAATAACATCATAATAACAATAATGATGATAATTATAACAATACTAATAATGATAATGCTACTAGTAACAACAGCAGTAATGATTATAACAATGGTAATAATTATGATGATAATAATAATAATGATGATGATAATGATAATAATAATAATAATAATAATAATAATAGTAATAATAACAATAATAATAATAATATAACTGACGATGATAATAATGATAGTAATAAAAAAAATAATAAATACTACTACTACTACTACTACTACTACTAATAATAATAATAATAATAACAATAATAATTATTATTATTATAACAACGATGTTGATGATGACGATCATAATAATGATAATAATAATGATAATAACAACAGCAACAGTGATGAAAATGATGATAATAGTGAAAATAACAATAATAATAGTTGCTGTAGCAGTAGTAGTGATGCTGATAATGATAATAATGATAACAATGAAAATAATTATCATAACAATAAAGATTATAAGTAGGATCATAATGATAATAATGAGAGCAACAATAATGGCAACAATAACGGTAATAATGATGATAATAATAATAGCAAATGATAATAATAATGATAATAATATAATAGTAATAATAACTGCGATTATTATCATTATCATAATGATTATAATCATCTGTACTTACAGGAACATGAAAAGCACCGGTGATTAATGCAAATTAATCAATCACTTAACAAGAAACGCCCACCATCTTACCTCAGATGCGTTCTGGGCGAGGGCAAAATCGCGTCTGTCAGTAGGAATGTCTTTTGTAACCCTGAGACTGTTTATGTTATTTCAATGATGCCAATTCATTCTCTGTGTTTTACTACTTGTTTTCTTGTAAAAATTCCTAAATTATATCGATCAATTTTCATAGATATTGAAATGTTAGGAATGTCAAGAAGTTACTGACATTTGTAAGTTTTGTTAGATTTAATGCTCGGGCCAAAATAATTGAGATCTGTAGAGAGAGAGGCGCCAAATTGGCAACATTCTGATAACGCTGTTGTGGACCAGGCGATGATTTGACATTTATTAATATCATATTCAATGTATGTTTTGCGCTTTGGCTAGAGAAGAATATTTTGACACATTGTTACATAGATAAATAAGGTTAACTGCAGGGATAACCAGTACAGTTGATTTCGTCCGCTTTCTGTTTGTGTCTGTACTCAATAATATAAGAAGTGGTCATGCACCTATTAGATTGCTTATAATCATGACCTTGAGAGTACCTTATCAACTGAGTAAGAGATCCCTGTGAACGTTATCTGTTTCTGACCATCTCTCTCTCTATCTCTCTCTCTCTCTAATTCAGCATTACTTCGTAATATAAAGTGCAGTATTAGTCATAGTTGGTTTTCCGTTCTATATATATGAATGAAGAAAACACTCTACCGTGTTGATACTATGGTAGAAAAACCCACAATGTAAAAACTATATTTTCAATAAATCTAGTTTTTACATTATGGTGTTTTCTACCATATATATATATATATATATATATATATATATATATATATATATATATATATATATACATATACAAAATTAACCGGCCACTCTCTTACTTTTAGCTAAGATCATATTCAAGGTTCAATTATTTGCCTGGCAATGTTGCAAACGCGATGGTATTGGTAGAATATAACTAGTAATGTGTCGAGGGATTCTTTTGTATAAATTTAGGATTATAAAATCTCAGTTTGTCCGGTAATATAGAAATTTTTGAATTGTGGCACGAGAGACGTCAAAGCAGCACCAAAATTTCTCAGATTATTGGCAAACTTTGAGATTGCAAAACAGCCTCATTTGGGCGAGCCTCGCTTTGCTTTTGGATCTTGTTGCTTAGATATTCATATCAAATACACAGTGACCAAGCTTCTGCAATTTTCATTGAATTTTCAACGTTTTCGCTGCAATTTCTCGATTTTTTGCTGAGTAAATATTTTTTTCCCCTTTAAATTATGTTTTAACTCTTATTTGAGGATATATGTGGCTTTAAATTGTGAATAGATCATCTTAAGACACTTTTTTCAAGACTTAGGCCCATTTAAAAGTGATTTTGCTTATCAGGTGATGATGGCTCCAGTTCCTAGATTGAGCATTGAAGACAGGATGAGAGTCGTTGTTCTCCACGAGGAAGGCTATAGTTGTAATAAAATTGCCCGAAAGATGAAAATAGCAAGGTCCGCAGCTCAGGAAATAGAAAAGAAACACAAACAGAAACAGGAACAGTGAAGGATGAAGGACAGGGAAGGCAGAGGTAGAAAGAAGATAACCACAAAGAGAGAAGAAAGGGTGATAATCAAGGAAGCACTCAGAGACAGAAGGAAAACATCAAAGTCGTTAGCAAATGAGCTAAGAAGAAACCATTGTTTGACAGAGAAGGCAAGGAAGAAAAGGTTGCAATGGGCAAGAGCACACAATGGCCAGGATTGGAGCAAAGTTATTTTCAGTGATGAAAGCAGATTTTGCCTTGTCAGTGACAGGCCAGTCTCAGTAAGGAGGAGAAAGGGTGAGGAATACCTTCCAGAATGCCTCAGTCCTACTATGAAACATGGAGGTGGTGGAATTATGGTCTGGGGCTGCATAACAAGCAAAGGAGTTGGCCGACTTTAAGATTGATGGGACAGTGAATGGGGAGTCTTACATAAAAAAATGAAATACTGTGCTATTCCATCTCTTAACCACCATTTTGAGGATAGAGAAGCAATATTTCAACAGGATAATGCTCCCTGTCACACTGCCAAAGTTGTACAAACTTGGATGACGAAGAACAATCTAAATATTTTGCCGTGGCCAGGAAACAGCCCAAACATGAACCCCATAGAGCATGTTTAGGACTATATTGATGACAAAATCAAGTCTGTTCACTTTAAAAACAAAGATGAACTATGGGAAAGGATAAAAGTTGAGTGGAACAGTATTCCAATGGATTATATATCAAAATTGTATGACACTATGAAACGCAGGGTAGATGCGGTTTGTGTGAGTGTATGTATATATGTATGTATATATATTCGCATATCACTTGCAAATGAAATACATAAATGAATATACAATAGTTTAATATTTCTTATCGGTAAAACATGTATCATATCCTAATCATGAGACATGCAGTATTACCTAAACTTGTGTACAATCTAGAATGCTGCAATGCCATACGATAGATATATATCTATTATTACTATTATACATGTGCAATATTTGAAATTACTGACAGCATAAAACAAAACAGTACTCTTATATTATAAATGCATATTTCATCACCATTTATAGTGTGAAATTTTATATGCTTAAATTCTATACTCCAACAATACAACCCTAATTTCTCATAAAACCATTCTTTAACGATTTATTTAAATTTGATTCCGAAGTCACATTTCTGGCGTATCCACTCGTCCATTTTCTTTGTCACTTCCGGGGTGAGTTTCGTTTTCCAACCGCCTGATTGTCCTGGAATTTACAAATTGTCGCGTTATTGTTTGTTATGTTGTCTATTCTATTTCTTCGTTTGCTACTTGGAGAGAGAGAGAGAGAGAGAGAGAGAGAGAGAGAGAGAGAGAGAGAGAGAGAGAGAGAGAGAGAGAGAGAGAGAGAGAGAGAGAGAGAGAGAGAGAGAGAGAGAGAGAGAGGGGTGGTGTTAAGATGATGGTTGATTGTGGTGGATTCCGTTAATGTTTGTTTTGGGTGATTGGTTGTCTCCTTGTTTGTTCTGTTGTTGTATGTGATGATAGGGGGTTGGTTTACCTGTTACGATTTGCTTGTTTGTTTTATTTGACCGTCAATCGCTATTTTTTATTGCATGTCTATCATTTCTATTCCTGTTAAGATGATTCGTTTGC